TAGCTTTAATGATATACTTTCTGTGTCTCCCCCTGAAGGTAAAGAGGACATGCTGCAGAAGCGGGACTATGAGACGGCCTCTCTGTCAGAGATTAAGGCTTTGCTGAAAAAACACGAGGCCTTTGAGAGTGACCTGGCGGCACACCAGGACCGCGTGGAGCAGATTGCAGCCATTGCACAGGAGTTAAAGTAAGAGAAGTGAACAGATGGAAATCGTAAATTGTGCAGGAACCTTCTGTGGATCAATAAAAGGATGAAGTAGAGTTGGATAATTTGAGGGCTCCTGTGCATTTACAGCTTGCCTGTTTGCACAGTAAGAGCTGAGCCTACAACTAGGACATTCTGCTCATTCTCATTTCACGCCACATAAAACACAAAATCAACAAATCAAGATGACAGACAAACACGAACAAAATTCTTATCTATGAAAGATGATTAATGTGAGTTAAAGCTGCTCTGCTGCAGATAACGAACCACTTGTGTTCCTGTCTCTTTTGTGCTCCAGTGAGCTGGACTACTATGACTCCCCCAGTGTTAACGCTCGCTGCCAGCGGATCTGCGACCAATGGGACACTCTGGGAGGTCTGACCCAGAAACGCAGCGAGGCTCTGCAGGTAACACGGGACAAGCCCAAAGGGAATCGAAAGTAAACAACCTAGCAAAGAGTCACATTTCTGACTCGCTTTAAAGTGTTTTAAATTCCCCCTGTCCTTCTTTATGCTGGTGAGGGCAAAAATTTAGAGATGAAAGAGTTTTTCCTCACAGCGAGAAACTGTGACGACAATTTCAGAGTTTCTGCTGGCCTTGAAAAGCCTTTCAAGTTTAGAGACTTTATTTGTGAAGATATAACCCCCCAAATCCCTCTGAGCTCTGTGAACGCTCATGCAAAAAAAAGCCTCCACGAATTCTTAAATTTCACCCAAATAGACTTTGAAGGTCAATAAAAACCCTGTAAATTTATGTTTATCACATTTTTAATGCTCAACAGAGAACAGAGAAGCTCCTTGAAACCATCGACCAGCTGTACCTTGAGTTTGCCAAAAGAGCGGCTCCGTTCAACAACTGGATGGAGGGCGCAATGGAGGACCTGCAGGATACATTTATTGTCCACACCATTGAAGAGATCCAGGTGAGATGGGGAAAATTACATGCGACTTTAGGGAATAAATAGAATTGTCAGCCTTTAAACACACAGCAGGGGTTATGTAGCTGTGAAGCTAACGCAGGTATTTGTTCGTTTGGTGCTTCTTTACTTTCTTGATGAGCGTTGGCTAAGCAGCTATCATCTATGTCAAGTTAATGTGAAGAAGCAACATATTGCCTGCTACCTTAACAGCATATTGCACCTTCTAGTAGTACATAATGGTAATAAATGAACATATGACCAAGTTGATATATCTTCAGTAAACTAAATAGATGCTTTGGATAAGTCATAATGGTTGTTACTTTACATTTTGCTGAGTACTTCTTATGATGTGAGACTACTAAAATCATAAATATGCTAAGATTTATGGTTTTATTTCATGACTACATTATTATATGGAAACAAATTCTCCAAAACTTTTGCTCCTAGCTAGACCAACACCGTCTGTTTTAGAAAGATCAATCAAACTCTAAAATGACCGGCTCAATTGTGCAAAGTGTGCTTCTGTAAAGTTTTGGTGTACGATTGACCATTATCTAAATATTTAACGACTTGTCACACAAAAAACAAATTCCATTAATTTCAGTTCCATTCAGTATTCAGAGCCTTTGATCTGTGGGCTAGAAAAGGGAAGGAAGCAACAGCAGAGTTCAACAGGAATGGGCTCTCTTTTGTCCTCACCCCCAACCAGCTGCAGCAGATTGCTGCCCTTCCTAAGCCTGGATCTGCCAGAGGGTTCTTCTCGTTAAAAAGGGAATTTTTCCTTCCCGCTGTCACCAAGTACTTGATCTGATTATTGGAGTTTTCTCTGTAATATTTCAGGGTCCTGAGGTGACTGCTGTTGTCATTTGGCACAATATAAATAAAACTGAATTGAATTGAATTTCAAGGTCAAATGACTCCAGGGGTCCGTTCTTCGTACCTCGCTTACTACATCCAAGGTCAAATCATCGTGCCAACTTTGAGCTCGCTATTCCGGTTCTCCGAACACACCTGTTGTTGACGATTAGTACAGCTGGATGAAGTAATGTGAGATCACTGGGTGGCTTAAAAGGGGCTACGCATCGATAGTAGAAACATTGATCGGCAACCCTTTGATTGGTCGGCGAAAATGTCGAAGGAGCGCGCTCAGTATTTTTTGGCAGCAGAGCAAGAACTTTTGATTGAGGGATTTCAGGAGTTTCAGAGTTTAATTAAAACACAAGGGAACACTGCAAAGGCTGCAAAAGCAAGGAGAGAGGGCTGGCAGAAAGTTGCTGACAAATTAAACTTGTAAGTAATTTATTATATTATATTACATTATATCCTCTTTCACATTAGAGCCACAACAGGACCCACTAGAACATGGGAACAAGTAAAAGTGAAATATAAGAATATTCTACAGAATGGTAATATTTATCACTTATATTGCTTTTAGTCTCTTGAAAAGAGACCCTGAAATAATCTGTTTGTTTGTTTATAACAGCAACCAGGAAAAGGGCAGAGCAAAAAAAGACAGGTGGTGGTCCTGCACCCCCTCGTCAACAAGTTGGTTAAGTAAATAATACCCTCACGGGAAAATCGATATCTCTCTATGAGCACACTGTCGCGCTGAGCTAAAGGATCCTGTCTATCCTGCAATATACGCTGAATTCTGAGAACTCTCCTTATCAATCTTGCACCTTCCGCAATGGGTGGCTCGCATATACGGACAGGACATGGCTGCGACAGGCTTCCCAAATCCCCCTTCGCTTTTATAGCTGTGGTCTCTCATACATGAAGTAATTTACAATTACTACTCTAAAATATGAATTACATCTGAAATAATCAAATACATGAAATAGAATGATTAATAGTACATTTCCCTTTTTTTAGGAAATGACCTGTATGTATCTGTATGGAATCAATAAAAGAATCAAGTACTGCATTATCTTTAGTTACATTGATAATATTTATTTATGGTAAAACAGTGGTAAAATATCGCTGTTGCTTTCGTATAAATGAAGCGGACATACCTGAGTGGCCGCGATCTAATCTTGTTTACATAAAGTAAGCCTGCTCCCAAGCAGGTTTACGCTTACGGATCTGTTGCTATGACAGCAAGTCCCGGATGAGCTTCGGAGAACCGAACGATCCAAGATCACGCGAAATCGTCAACAATCAAATCCAGCTAACTTACTTAGCGAGGTACGAAGAACGGACCACAGGAGTATTCTAAGATCATATGAAAATTATGAACTGGACAACAAGCAGGGTGTTTTTGCTACTTAATGATTAAACAGCGATAACATGAGCTGACTGTTTGTTTTGAATTTCTCTCTATAGCTGCTTAGCACTGAAATTGCATTAGGGAGCCTATTGTTAACAGTTAAGCACTTCCAGGTTTGTTTGCACTATTGTGTGAGGTACTTCCTCTTTGCCACAAATCATATTTGATCTAACAGAGGAGAATTCCAGCCCAGTGATAGGATGGCTGTAACAGAAAGCTTTCATAAAATAAAGCACTGTCTGGGGCCTCTTTAAAACTGAATTTTTTTTTTAATTAAAAACTCTCAGCAGGTGGATGTTGTTCTCTTCTGATGGGCTTTAGACTTAAATCTAACATTTATCAAACAGATTTGACACAGACACACAGACATGGATCTTCTCATCTCACTCACAGCAGGAATGCAATTAAACACAATATCAGAGTTAGACTTTGTCAGATTCTGGTATAAAACCATAAAAGCAGATGCAAGCAGACCTAAGCAAGTTTGTCTTAACTAATGAATCAATCAAGAGAACAAAAATGAAAATGCAGTTGTTTGAATCAACACTTCATCAGACTGAGGAAGCTTATATTACATGTGTTTTGTTTTGGCTGCTTCTTTTTTAAATAAATCTTTCTTAATATCTCTGCACAGTGTTATATAAGTTCCATATCACTACATTTTTAGCAAAAAAATTCAAACTAAATTTTTTATATTTCATAATCAAAAAAAAGGCTAGATCAGAATCAGAAACTTTATTGTCATTGTCACAGAGAACAACGAAATTAAGAATGGTCCCCGATCATTGCATCATCCCTAGCAATATCAAAATATAAATAAAACAATAAAATTCAATAAATAAAATAGATAGAATACTTAAAATACTAATAAGATGTAACAGTAAAACATTCACATACATTCCCACACACATGCTTCAGCTCAAGATTAACACAAGAGTGGCGTGATGGACATTTTTTTGTAGTATTCAGATGTGTTATTGCAGTTGGATAACAGCTGTGTTTGAGTCTATTAGTCCTTGCTCTGATTGCCCTGTACCGTCTGCCTGAGGGCAACAGTTCGAACAGGGAGTGGCCAGGATGTGAGGTGTCTTTTATGATGTTTTGGGCCTTTTTAAAACAGTGGGCATTGTGTAGAACTTCCAGTGTGGGGAGAGGGCAGCCAGTGATCTTTTGGGCGGTGTTAATGATCCCTTGGAGTGCTTTCCTCTGAGCCCCTGTGCAGCTAGTGTACCAAATACATATGCAGTAAGTTAGAACACTCTCAATGGTGGCTCTGTAGAAGGACACCAGCAGTCTCTGTGTGATGTTATTCCTCCTGAGAATTCTCAGGAAGTACAGTCTCTGTTGGGCCTTTTTCAGCAGCTCGGAGGTGTTCACACTCCAGGAAAGGTTCTCCTCTATATTGACTCCCAGGAAGCGGAAGCTTGCCACCCTTTCTACACAGTCCCCATTTATGAATAGTGGTTGGATCTCTGCCTTTTTCCTTCTGAAGTCTATTATGAGTTCTTTGGTTTTTGAAGTGTTGAGGAGGAGGTTATTGGCCTTACACCATGACGTCAGCTGCTCCACCTCGTCTCTGTACGTAGACTCGTCTCCCTTGGAAATGAGCCCCACCACTGTGGTGTCATCTGCAAATTTCACAAAGATGTTGCTGTGGTGGCGAGGAGTGCAGTCGTGTGTGTAGAGAGAGTAGAGCAGTGGACTGAGCACACAGCCCTGGGGTGAGCCAGTGCTGAGACTCAGGGCTGAGGATGTGTGATGGCCAACTCTGACTCTCTGTCTACGGCCCGAGAGGAAGCTATTGATCCACATGCAGGTGCTGTATGGAAGCCCCAGGTCTTGTAGCTTGGCCACCAGTTTGTGTGGAAGGATGGTGTTAAAAGCTGAGCAGTAATCCACGAAGAGCATCCGCACATAGCTACCATGCTCTTCCAGGTGAGTTAATGCAGCATGGAGTGCTGTGGCTACAGCGTCTTCCGTGGACCGGTTTGCTCTGTAGGCAAACTGGTGTGGATCCAGGCTGCGGGGCAGGGCTGCTGTGATGTGTCTGCGGACCAGCTTCTCAAAGCATTTCATTACCACTGGGGTGAGTGCCACCGGTCTGTAGTCATTCAGGCCGGTGATGTGGGGCTTCTTAGGCAAGGGGACTATGGTGGAGGACTTCAGGCAGAGTGGGACAGTCGCCTGTGCGAGGGATTTGTTGAAGATCCTGGTGAAGATCCCAGCCAGCTGTTCTGCACAATCCCTCAATATTCGACCTGGCACACCATCAGGACCCGCCGCCTTCCTCGGGTTAACAGCCTGCAGCATGCGCCTCACCTCGTGCTCTTCCAGGGTGAGGGTGGTGCTGCTATGGGTGGCGTGTTGCTGCTGTGGCTCCAATACCTCCGGTACCCTGGTCTCAAAGCGGGCGAAGAAGATATTCAGCTCCTCTGCCAGCTCCAGGTCACCGTCCGCAGCTCCGAGATTGATCTTATAGTTGGTTAGGTGCTGGATGCCTTGCCACACCTGCCGGCTGGTATTACTCTTCAGATGGTCCTCAATCCTCCTCCTATAGTCCCCCTTTGCCTCTCTGATGCCTCTCTTCAGGTTGGATCGGGCTGTGGTGTAGTGATCCCTGTTGCCAGACCTGAACGCAATGTTCCTCTCCTTCAGCAGCTGCCTGACCTCCCGGGTCATCCAGGGCTTTTGGTTGGGATAAGCCCGGATCCGTTTGACTGCTGTAACAGTGTCTATGCAGTGTTTTATATAGCAGAGGACACTGTCTGTGAACATTTCCAAGTCCTGATGTTCAAAGAAGTCGTCCTAATTGTTTGTCTACATTTTGTGTCTCAGGGATTAAGCACAGCCCACGAGCAGTTCAAAGCCACGCTACCAGAGGCTGACAAAGAGCGCTTGGCCATCCTGGGAATTCACAATGAGATTGCCAAAATTGTGCAGACCTATCACGTGAATATTGCCGGCACCAACCCCTATACTACCATCAACCCACAGGAGATTAATGCCAAATGGGACAAGGTAATATAATCAATAAACATGTAAAATGTTATGTTTTTTGTTTTCATTTGTTGGTGTTTTCATGTGTGGGTTTTTCCCCCTTTTTTTTTTGTGCATGATGAGTGAAAATTTGGGGTCTAGTGCATTTTTTTCCCCCCTTTCAGTTATCCATTCCCTTCTTAATCCAGATTTTTAAGTGATCTGGACTGTCCATACATCCAAACAAGAAAGAAAGAAAGAAAGAAAGAAAGAAAGAAAGCCTGTGAAGGAAATAAAAGCAAAAATGTACACGACAAAAACTTTGGATGAGGCATAACATAGTAAATAATAGAGGTCTTGGGAGAACAGTTGGTAAAGAGAAAAACATCAGGGAAAGAAAAGCTTGTTTTGTGTCATGTTGGTTTTTATTACTTTTTAATATTTAATCAGTCAGAATACAAACCCACATTTTATTGCCTACAATTCTGCATAATAATTCAGAGATAATTAAATTTAAAACAAAAGACGGGGAGAAAAAGGCAGGCAACAAAAGAGACAACAAAGAAAATGTGAGCTCTTTAAAGTAACGTAAAATGAGTATGGCAGCTCCAGTCTAAGCAAATTCATGCTTTGGTAAGCTTTAGTGGCATAAGAGATTTATTTTTATATTCAGTAAGGGAATAAGAACTTGTGTTATGAAAAGAGTGAAGCGCTGAGAGAAGATCTTTTTAAAAAAAAAAAAGAAAGAAAGAAAAAATGGGGGGGGGAAGAGTTTCTCCATTCATTACAGGTTGCGTTGTTCCCATCTTTATTATAGCCACACGAGTCAGTATTAACGCACTTGGGTGTTTCCATCAATCTCCCGGCTGCTGTAGGTCAGGCAGCTGGTGCCGCAGCGCGACCAGGCTTTGATTGAAGAGCACGCCCGGCAGCAGAACAACGAGCGTCTGCGCAGACAGTTTGCCAACCAGGCCAATGTCATCGGGCCTTGGATCCAAACCAAGATGGAGGTCAGTGTGAGCAGAAACCGCAGTCGGAGGAGCACGTTATAAGTTGAGAATGAGGCCAGAGTGATGGTTTGGTCTTTAGGTCTGAACTAGAGGTTATTAGTTTTTTTTCCTGTCACAGAATTTCATATTCAATTTCATATTAAATAATGATAAAATATATAAGACTTTAGTTTTGGCTTTTTGATAGTTGCTCTTATTTGGTGTTAAAATATTATTTGATAACACTTTGAAATGTGGGAGCTACTGTAGCCTTATATAAAGGAGACATTTTCGTGTTCTTGAAAGCTTGATCCAGGTGGTACTTACATAATGGTGACATATGTTATATTCAGTAAAATAGCAGAGATGCTATCCTTTAAAAAATAAAAAAATAAAAAATTGATGAACGAAAAGCTTCAAAGCCAGGCTGTGGTATTTGATTTTTGACTATTCTTGAATGGATTCATGTGTGCATGTCCTCCTCTCCGCTGTGACTCATTGTTCTCATTAAAAGGTGTCATAACCTTCTCTGTGTGCTTACACAGGAAATTGGCCGCATCTCAATCGAGATGCACGGCACCCTGGAGGACCAGCTGACGCACCTCCGCCAATACGAGAAAAGCATCGTCAACTACAAGCCAAAGATCGACCAGCTGGAGGGAGACCACCAGCTCATTCAGGAAGCTCTCATCTTTGACAACAAGCACACCAACTACACCATGGAGGTAAACATTTCTTCTGGCGCCAACAAATATTCACATTACTGTTCCTAATTTCACTCCGGCTTTTTGACTCGTCTGTCTGACTTGTCTGTGTCCTGTGAATACTTTGGTTTTCTTGGTTTCCAAACACTACAGAACAATAGATGGCGGTATGTTTACATGCCCACAAGAAGGCCTTTAAGAATATGGAACTTTTGGCGGTTTACCATCTGGTCTTCAGTGTACAGTATCAACTTTCTGGCTCATGAGCCAAGTTTTGGGGAACTATCCCCGCCAAGAATAGCTTTTACAAGCCAAACTAATTTGTATTTTGTCTGCATAATTACAGACATATTTTCCAAACTTTTATGTAGGCATCTGTCCAGAATCAGCTACTGGGAAGCAACAAAAGCACCTCGTCTACTGTTTTTTAGTAAATGAAGGACATTCTTTTTTTCTTATGAGAGTAGATCTCTTCTTAATCTACTTTCTTGTTGTCTCACACAACAAATTACATGAAAATATTAAAACCAGCAATAAATTCACTAAAAGCTCATTGGTGTATTTCTGTGCCAGCGAGCTCTACTGTTGTCCAAAAATTAGAGAAGAAACACATCTGTTAGCCGTGATGTCGCCCTTTGTTTAAGGGTCAGTCCCGTATATACAGTCCTCTCCATACACCACAGGTGTCGAACTCCAGGCCTCGAGGACCGCTCTCCTGCTTGTTTTCCAACTAACCTGCCCTTGTAGCTTCTTATTAGCAAAGCACACCTGATCCAGGTAATCAGCTGCAGGTAGGGCAAGGATATCTCAAAAACAAGCAGGATGCTGGCCCTCGAGGACGGGAGTTTGACACCCCTGCCTTACACGCACTGATCTGCAGTTGAAACTAGTCCCCAGCAAGTAGAATATTGGCTCCTGTTGCAATGTTTGCCATGCTCGGCTGGTTTAGTAAACTATTTTGCATATTTGTTTGTGTTTTGACCATTTTCTAGCTGCACATATTTGAGCAGAATCTAATGGATTTGAACCCTGAGTACCACACGCTGAGAGATGGTTTAAACATGGTTTTGCTGTTTTTATGGGCTTTGTTGACATGAACATAGTTTGGAGGATGCTGTTTTATACACAGCTGAGTGAATTGTACTCAGTCTGGAGTGCGGTTGATAGACAGCCATCATTTTTCACTGTAATCTTTGTACCTGTTAGAGCAAAAGGGCAGACAAATAATAGAATGTGCATTATCAAAGCATTCAGATAGTTGTTCTAACATTTTATTCTTCAAAAGTTCAATTTACAGTCTATATCTGACACATCTGCCTTGTACTGAGCTGCAATTTTCCTCTTCTCTTTACACAGGGCATAAAACAATCTACAAACCACCTCGGCTAAAGCTCAGCTAAAACCAGTCCCTCTGAAACTCTTCTTTAGCCCACCTTAACACTTCCTTCGTCTTCATCTTTCTCTCCCCTCCAGCACATCCGTGTGGGCTGGGAGCAGCTGCTCACCACCATCGCTCGTACCATCAACGAAATCGAGAACCAGATCTTGACACGAGACGCCAAGGGCATCAGCCAGGAGCAGCTTAACGAGTTCCGGGCTTCCTTCAACCACTTCGACAGGGTCAGTACTCGCACTGTGCAGACACACTGGAGAGGTCCGGACATTTGCAGACAGCTTTAGTTTGTTTTAAACTTTTTTTGACATTTGGGAAATATGCTTTTAGGTTCCTTCACTAACAAATTTGATGCACCTCTCATGTTTGTCTGATAAATGTGAGACTAAACCAGCTAAACACAGAAGAAGAAAAACGGTTTTCCATGTTCAAGCAACCGACATCAGACACTAGCTGGTTAATTAGCATGCTGTACCTCATTTGCATTCAGCAAATTAGATGAAAGGTTGCACAGTTTGACAAGGGTATTAACTCAGACTGTTTCCTGGCCAGGTCTTTGGGGTTTCTACACATACACGCACCAATAGCAACAACCTCAAACCTCTTTGGGAAGTGCCAAAAATTCCTCTATGCAGGAAAAACTCTGAACTTCTGAGGTGCCCTTTTGTGAGCTTTATGAGCTGTAGGCTAACCATGTACTGCCTCTACTATTAGACAATGCATTTTTCCGAAATGTCAAACTATTCTTCTGCAGATTTAAGTAACACTGTGGCATGTGGAGTCACTCATTTTTCTGTATATTCAGACATCACCAGCAAAGCAAAGAAGATGAGGTGAGGCTGTATAACCTAACCGGTTTGAGATCATTTTTTTTTATCCTGTCATGCTGCCCGACGTGTGGCTAACAGCAATCCTTTAACCAGAAACTTGAAGAAAATGAGTGTGTAGAGTAGAGTTGTTTGTGGAACGCGTAAGGGTGCACCCAAGTGTTATGGCTGGGTTGAAAAGAGACTTACAGTTCAGTGACGCAACATTCATCTTTAAAAGCTTTCAGACATTTTTGGAAAAGTGGTAGTCTGGCAGAATGAGCCTCAAGGCTCAGCTGGATGCTTTTGTGATACGTGAAATTAAGATGGAACAGAAGAGGAATATTAAAGTTCACATTACAGGCTTTCCTTGCATAGCTGCCTCTGTAAAGCTCCTTCTCCTACCTCCAGAGCTTAGTGTTTACACTGGCGCAGACATGTCAGGAGCAGCATCAATTATGGATGAGATTTTATTTATCTCCACCACCCCACCCCCGCACATTACCATAAGTTCATGCCTTCATCCGGAGCCATCCTATTGTTAATCAATACCCGAGCTCAACAATCAGAGTCCACAGGAGCACAAATGTAGACCTCGTCCTGCTTTGGTTTACACATGTTTAGCTGAAAGCTCAGCTAAACACGAGCTGGTAGATGTGATGGGGACCTAAAGTGCTGCAATTATCTGCTTTTTAAATTCTACTGAGGATAAAAGCAAAAAGTATTTCCTGGTTGTCTCAGGATTCACATCTTTCTCTGAAGGTTTTCTTTGTTCATGTTTAATGAACAGCTTTTCTGACATTGCTTGATTAGCCAGATATTAAGCCAGATTAGCCAATACTGAAAAAAATAACTGAATAATGATGGTGGTTACAGCTTCTCAAATGGGAATAGTTGAGGTTTACTTCATCTTCTCTCATATTAAACTGAAAATGTTTGTTTTCAAAACCCAA